TTTGCAGCTCCGATTTTTTCTAATAATTTTTCATGTTATAGTTAGTAGTTGAGAGAGGTATCCCTGATCGTTTTTATGTTTTTCGTCCAGCCGTTTTCGAGATAAAATTTTTTGAAAAAAAACATTCATTTTTTTACATGCAAGTATGAGCCGATTGGCATAATTTTTTATTTGAAATTTTTCATTTTCAAAACACTTTGGGACTATAAAATCGAAACAAATTTAAAAACCGTATTTCTAAAAAAATTGAAAATTTGTAATATAAAATGTCGATTTTCAAAATTCACGTACCGATTGATTTTCTTAACAATCCTTTCTAAAAACCTGTCACCAATTTCCTAAATTGTAAGGCTAGTCCGATAATGGAATGAGCTCGTTTATTACTACACCTCTTTTCGTATTCAGCTGCAGCTTCAGCTTCGTCTTTATATTCATCTTCAACTTTGCTTCCAGTTCCAAGATGTGTCAGTCTACGATTCATGATACGTCGGCAGTCAAAAAGAATATGCTCTACGGTTTCCTCCGCAAAACCGTCATTCCATCTCTACAGAAAGCCCCATTTTGTTCGAAAGGTACTTTAACTTGTAGTGTCCTGTCTCATTCCCTTTGACCTCCGCCAGTGGACAGCAATCTGAGATTCTTCCCAACTCCAAAGGAGCCCTGCAGTGCATCCTTTAGATGTGCCGCAGAAAGGTTCGCGATCATGCATGCGCGTTTGAGCTCCACGTTTTGCGAAACATCCAGCCCCGTCGTTGAAGTCAACCCTTCATGCCCAGGGACCCACCACAGCGTCACTCTATTAAGGGCTACCAGGCTATTCAGGGTAGCGGGATCATACAGGAATGGCTTGAGAACCTCCAGGTGACCCTGAAGATCGCCAATTTGTACGCAGATTATATTGACTAGCCGAAGGGCGCTTCAGTAGGCATCCTTTTCAATCAGAATGGACAGAGGAGGAATGCCTGTAATCAAACCAAGGGCATTGGCTAGACATGTGCGCATAGCTCCTGTTATGGGCACACTGACCAAGCGGCGCAGCTTGCTTACTTCGTTTGCTTTTGCCCACCAGGCTATTGCCGCATGTGTAACAAAGGGGTTTCACGACCCTACGGTGAGACCAATAGGCTAGTTTGGGTGATATTCCCGACTATGTGCGTATAGCACATACGGACTCTATGTATAATTCTAAGCAACTTTGCCAAAGAAACCATGCGTCTAAAATTATTTTGGAGTTTGCCAAATTGCGAAAATCGGTTTCTTAGCAATTTTCTGTTGTAAAAATGCTATAAGGGATTTTTTGGTATGAAGAATCCGATTCTGCACATATATTTTTCTTAAAACTTCCACCACAAGGAGCAGTGAAAATTTTCACATTTTCTTCGAAACTCACTTCCGCAATGGTTTCTTTGGCAAATTTGCTTAGAATTGCACATAGAATAATGCTATACGCGCATATTAAAAAAAAAAATTAAAAATTACCCGCCCTAATGTACTTACTCCTTTTTAAAAAATACTTATTATACCACTTTGCTCACGTGGACTTTTGTGTTCACAATCGCCAGTATCAGCTGATTTTTATCCTTTGTACGTACATGTATGCATATGTTGTTCACAGCAACAAATATTTTAAAGCGATGATGTCATTATTACAAAAGCCGTTTCTTAATTTTATTGTGCTGATAACGTTTTATGTGGTTTTGTCATTTTTTGTTAGGTATGTATGCACAATAGGGTGGTCCAAAACGCATGTGAAAAAATAGTCGGCATTTTATATTCTCACCCCCTAGGATAGTTCCAATAATGCCCAATTATTTATTGAACCATTTGTTCTTAGTAACTATATTTTATAGGTCCGCCAAGAATTCCATACCATTTATACGAAAAGCTGTTTTCCCCATATAAAATACATGGAAAACTTTGACCGCTTTGAGCCAGCTCTAAATATTTTTTTATTTGAAATAAAAAATAGCGGTATATTTTTTCGATGTAGAAAAATCCTAGGGACTGAGAGCATTAAAATTCCGACTTTACTTACTTTGGACCACCCTAATGTATATACATACATATGGATATCTACATACATGTGTCCCTGAGATAACAAATGCGTCACTTTTTTGCAATCGATGTTGTTTTAATTGTTCAGCATATCTCGCTTATTCACAAAAATTTTGATTATTTTAATCAACCATAATTACATACATATGCATGTTGATGTGATATGAATAATTTTTTTCTTCACGTATCACTAAATGAATTATGCACTTTTAGAGATATCATCGCCGAAATAGTTATCAAATTTTAGTCAGCCCCATTCTGAATAACGTCATCGTCAGTAAAAGTCATTGTGCACTATCGATTATTAAGTATGAATATGTAGATAAGGGATTGATGCCAGGAGCTTCCGGTCAGCAAATATCTTTTTTGGCACAAATGTCAATTACGAGGTTTGGCGGAACCGCGATACGTGGTTTTGTACTTTAAACGACGTTACGTAAACCTATTCTTATTAGTTTTTTGGTGTTTAAATAAATATTTGGTCTTTTAATTTTAATCCTTTTTTACATATTTTTTTCAGGGTATCAACGGCATACTGTTGCAAGGCATACAATTTCCTCACTACTGCGCTCAAGCTATGTTGGACTGCAAGTCTCCTTGCTAGATGTTATTCTTAGATAATAAGAAATTTTCATTCTGATCATATTTTTTTTGCATTGCTTGTGTGTTTACAAAGCTTTATAACCATAGCTTCACTTAATATTTGGTTACGTGCAGTTACATATTTAGAGGCCATTCAATTATTTACATCAAATATTTTTCTACTCAGAACAAATTGGTTTAAGACGTTTTTTGCTAAAATAAATATATTTATGTAAATATTACCTACCGTCGTGTTTCATTAATAGGGCAGAATACGGCCACCGAACAGTGGTGCCAAACTGGAANACATTTTTTCTATTAATTGGCCGTATTAATTTATTATTAAGTCCGGATCTGGAAGAGAATAGTCGTGTAGTTTATCAGGTACAATGGTTATAAACAGGGAACGGATTTTTAGGACTTAAAAACCTATAAAAAAGGCAAAATAAAATAACGAAATAGGCTGGAAAAGGCAAAGTAAAATAGCGAAAAAGGCAGGAAAAGGCAATAGGTATTGCAAAAAAGGCAAAACAAAA